GAACTCCTGAAGCTTAGGAGAGAGCCTTGAGAGAGCACCAACACCATAGACCTTGCGATTCCCTGGCTCTTGTTCCCAAGCTCGCTTCTCTGGACGGAGCCAGGTGCCCAGGAAGGCCTGTGTGGCATTCCCACCCTGGACACAGCAGACTTGGGGCTCTATGGTGGAGAGGGCATGAGCAGACCCTCAAGCCAAGGGTGGGCTATTCCTAAATTCATTCCCCAATCTAGGCTGGCAGAGTCCTGAGGTTCAGATGCCCCTTTCCATGCCCCCGAGGCCAGGAGAAATTGTTTCCACTGGCTTTGCCAAGTTCTATTTAAGAACCCAGGCTGACCCCAAGTGAGCTGCCTGATAGTGCAAAAGCATCAGAAATAACTTCTCTCGGAATTACCGAGCAAAGGGGACATGACGCCTTCTGCCAACCATAGGTTCCAGATATTAAAAAGATAACTTGCGGGGGGGGGAGATTAGATGACTGAGGCTCCTCGGGGCTCTGAGGGTTTGCAAATCCAGCTGGGTGGCCATCCCCCAGCAGCGTGAGACCGTTTTCATGGAAAACAGGAAGTCCTCCTAGTCAGGGGCACCCGTTTGCGCTCCTGGCACAGGTGTGTTGAAGAATATCAGCTTGGCACCTGGCCTGTTGGGTCTCCCCTTTGGTGGCTGCTCTTAAAACCCTGTTCTCAACCCTTTCAGGGCAGCAAACCTGCTGTACTGCGTTATTGACCTACTTAACCTGGAGCAACTCGAGAGCAGGCACTGTTACCATCTTGGTTTCCTAGTCTAGCACCAGGTACATGGTAGATGTTCAATAAGTAGAGTGTTTGCTCAGTTATATTGATTAAGAAGGCACAGGAATGTCTCTCCTAAAATATCTCAGGAGCCATGGAGGTGACAGCAAACTCATTGCATTTATGCACACATTGATCAATTGATTTATCTTCAGTCAACACACATGTATAGAGTTCCTACTAAGTGGCCTCTAACTCCATCTTCAGGCCTTAGCACCCTCAGATGAGGTGCCCCCCAAATCACTCCCACTTTTTTCTATCCTGGTTGGTATCACACAGACTGTTTTTTGTTTTTTCCACTTCATTTGCATCTCCTACCCCCACACTGGACTGGAAACTTCCACAGGATGATTCCCTGGTGTCTCGCATGGTGCATAGTACACATCCCAGTATAAAATATCAGTGTTGGCTAATAGTAGACAAATACATGAATGTACACATAAAGGTAATGAGTGTTTTTTCAGTTGATGTGTTTTCACAGGGGATAGATACCCATCTGACAGAGGTCTTTGAGGAAAGGTGTTCCTTTGGGCATTATACAAACCAACCATGTTCCAACGGCCGATTTACGTAGCTCATGTCCCCATTCAACTCTGAGCCCCTTGAGAAGAGGAACCAAGTTCTATTTGTCTTTGAAATCCTACATGAGGAGCATACACCCAATATTTGAAAAGCTTACAAAAAGTTTATTTTCTGAGAGTGGACTGTTTACAGAACGCTAATGCTGAATTCTTGAATCATTCACTTGCTTTGCCAGGCCACTCCGAATACCTTGGTAAATATTAGCTAATATACAGCCCTTTGCTTGCTATTAAGATTTACTGATTTCAATAGAAAGTAACCTAAAAACTGTGGGTGTTACATAACCCAGACACCAGGGCCAATCTCGAATCAACCAATAATTTAAAAAAATACATATTGGCTTTGTCTGTGGTTGGATTAAATGCCACTGTCTAAGCAAAGTTGGATGTGTGCTGTGTACATTGGGGGTCTGCCGTGTCAATGATGGCTTTGGTCAGAGGATGAATTTATCCTGTAGTCTTGCTTTCTCTAGGTATAATTCTTCTCACTCTCTGAATAAATAAATCAATAGTATATGTGAAAAGTACCTTTCATAAAGGCCAGATTTTATTTTTAAAAAATCCAACAATAAAGGTTGCTTATAAATCTCACTTTCTTACGTAACAGGGACTGTTGTACAGAGAGATTAACATGGTATCTTGTTGCTTCCTGGTGTGATCTTACTTTCATCTTACAAATATGTACTTACCTGTGTCTATGTTTTCACCTGTGTCTTTGTGAACACCTGGACGTCTCACCATCTCAGGGTGTCCAGAGCAGAGTCTGGGAGATTGAGGAGAACTAATTGTTTCTGGTGAAAGTTCTTGGGCACGGCCTGGGCGACACAGGAGGGGAGCCACCGAGCGTGGCAAGGAGAGGAGAGAAATGTCGGAACACAGCATGCCTGCTGCCCAGGGACCTCAGCCGGCGGCTTGTCATGTCTTAGCATGACAAGCCATGCGAGGTTTCTAAAGATAAAATACATACCCAGGCTGGGGCTTGGTCTGAGAACAAACAATTGCCTTGGTTATACCACACAAGTCCACTATCCAATGAAGTGTTTTCAAGCTAGTACAAATTAGCATCAGTCCACTGACCAAAGACTAAACTGTATTAAGCTGGGTCTAAAACAAATCAACCTGCATCCAGAGGCCAGCTCCCAACACCGCTCCCTTGCCTCGCCCAGCCATGGATGCTTCAGGTCAGAATACGTTTAGGATGAAGGTAAGTGCGAACCGTCTGGGGAAAGCATCACAAGCCGGTTGCTGTTGTCTCAACTCTTTGCAAGGCCAGGTGGATGATATTTTATTAGCAATAGAGGCATGGAAACCCAAACTTATCTGAGAGATAAGTCAGGGAGTACTTATTCACTCTACAGAAATATTCGTTATCACCCAAAGTGAAATGAGCCTGTCCTCAAAATTTCAAATCGCCACAGCTGTGGTTGTCTCTTCACCACTTCTAGTTGGTGTTGGCTTCTTGCGTTTTCACCTGCTCTAAGACCACGGATTTAAGAGAGACCGGAAAAGGGTCGTGGGGGGAAAAGCCAGAAGTTGGTGTGTTAGGAGCCATCTCTGGAATGATAATGTATGACAAAGAGAATGTGGATTCAATTGACATATGTTGGCTTTAGAATTTAGTATCTTGTGTGAGGGCTGCTCTATGAAGAGCTTTTGACACACTATGCGTGTCCGTGAACCTGAGAAAGGGAGAAAGTCCCAGTGAATGTAAGCAAGGTTAAAGATTGTGTGTGCAGAGAAAGAGGAGAGAGTAGGAAAGACTACGTCTTCCTCCATGAGTTGAATTTGGGACCATCACCTAATATTCTTGGGGACTTGAGGTCAGTGAGGGCTGGGTGGGATGAGGGCAGGCACTGCTGTTTGCTCTCTTGGTAGCATTTTTAAAAAAATCTTTAGAACCTGTCCTCAAAATTTCAAATCACCACAGCTGTGGTTTTCTCTTCACCACTTCTACTTGGTTGTTGGCTTCTTGTGTTTTCACCTGGTCTAAGACCATGAGCAAGAAACTGTGGAATATCAGTTTTGTTTAAAATTTATCACTAAGTTGGTTTCGCTTCCTAGTTTGTATGAATAAACGCATTTTTGAAGGGGGTTTTGACATCTATTTTAGAAACATATTTGCATTTAATTCAAAATATCACGAAGACATGGCTCATCGTGGTGAACGAGCTTAGAGTGGCAGTAGGCATGCCTAAGGGAGGAGGTAGTCTTGTGTTTATGTCCCCAGGTGCCATCATTGTTGGCTGTTGAGGGGGAAATCCCTTCATTCTTTTGCTCTAAAATGGAAGTCAAAATAATGCCATCGATAAGAAACTATTGATCAGATAGCATTTGAAGAGCTTAATTCATTCACTGACTTATTTCATTTATGTTTTTATACTAAATAACTAAGACATAGACTGTGCCAGCAGCTGGGAAAGAGTGAGTAAAACATGATCCTACCCTCACAGAGCTCCCAGCCCTTTAGCTTGGGAGAAGGGAAAAACGTGTGAGATATTGCTGGTGACCATCATACTACTTTTGGGGGGATGTTGGCATACCACAAAGAGAGAGTAGAAACACAAAGGGAGGCTTGCAGATGCACTGAGAAAACTTCTGCCATCAGATGGTAGGACTTGACTAAACTATGCTGAGCAACTTGGCTCTAACAGCGTCCCACATTAAAACAAAAAGGAAGTTGATTAATACTTGTCTGAAAACGTCTCAGGGAAATTTAACTTTAGAAAAGAAAATTTCATAACCGAGAGGCAGTGGGGTAGAGGCTCTTCTGGACTGACCAGCAGGGACCCTCATGCTCTCGGTGTCCACCTGCCGCTTTGTTAGGTACATGCCTGGATGGGTCATTGGGATTATCTGAGTCTCAGGTCCTTCATTTAATAAATGAGAGGACTGAATCGAATCAGAATTTCTCTTGATATGTATATGCCTCTAGCAGTACACAAAATGGCTTAGGTAGTATATTTATGAGCGGTTTTTTTCATAGTTACTTATTTTTATATATAACAAAAAATGTAAATAGTGCATCAAGCTTCTGCTTTCACAGATATTTTTGCTTAATATAAAGCTAAATTAATTTTTAATATATATATTTTATTGTTGATAGTATTACAGACATCTTCCATTTCCCCCCTCCTTTATCCCTCTTCTCCCAACCCTTATTCACTGCCCCCCTCATGTCTTCACTACCCTATCGCATACCATGTCCATGGGCTATGCATATAAGTATATCATTTCTTTGGTTTATCTCTTCTCATCCTCCCAACCTAACTTTATATTTTTAAAGGAGAGCTCATTTAAAGAATAATATAAAAATATCATAGTACAGGTCATGATGGTGATCACAAACATTTTCAAGGTTGTATGCAATTAAGGTCAGGAACCCTCTTAGATTCCTTCCAATTCTATCTCATCGGATTAGTTTTCCTCTTTATATTTAAGCAATATGGCCTTCTGGTGGAAAGTTTCTATTGAAAATAGCATTGTGGCATCCAGAATAAACCTGTCAGCTTGCCAAATGGTCAGTAATCCAGATTGTTTGGAATGTCTTTTCATAAACAGGTAGCTCTTTATGTGCGTCACCTACGTCATCGCTGTTCTAAATACAATTTTTTTTTCTTTGATGTGTTCTCAGATCAAGGTGTTGACAGAAAGAATGTTCAAACATCTTCGGAAATGGTTTGTCACTCGCTTTTTGGGGCATCCTCGGCGAAGAACAAGGCTGGTTTCCAAAGATGGAAGGTGCGTCACCTAGTCATCGCTGTTCTAAATACAATTTTTTTTTTCTTTGATGTGTTCTCAGATCAAGGTGTTGACAGAAAGAATGTTCAAACATCTTCGGAAATGGTTTGTCACTCGCTTTTTGGGGCATCCTCGGCGAAGAACAAGGCTGGTTTCCAAAGATGGAAGGTGCAACATAGAGTTTGGCAATGTGGAGGCGCAGACGAGGTTTATATTCTTTGTGGACATTTGGACGACGGTGCTTGACCTCAAATGGAGATACAAGATGACCATCTTCATCACAGCCTTCTTGGGGAGCTGGTTCCTCTTTGGCCTCCTGTGGTACGCGGTAGCCTACATTCACAAAGATCTCCCCGAGTTCCATCCACCGGACAACCACACCCCTTGCGTGGACAACATTAATGGTCTGACCTCAGCTTTTCTGTTTTCTCTGGAAACACAAGTGACTATTGGCTATGGATTCAGGTGTGTGACCGAACAGTGCGGCACCGCCATCTTCCTGCTCATCTTCCAGTCTATCCTTGGAGTCATCATCAATTCCTTCATGTGTGGCGCCATCTTAGCCAAGATCTCCAGGCCCAAAAAGCGGGCGAAGACCATTACCTTCAGCAAGAATGCCGTGATCAGTAAGCGGGGCGGGAAGCTGTGCCTCCTCATCCGCGTGGCCAACCTCCGGAAGAGCCTCCTCATTGGCAGTCACATCTATGGGAAGCTTCTCAAGACCACAGTCACTCCGGAGGGAGAGACCATTATTTTGGATCAGACCAATATCAACTTCATAGTTGACGCCGGGAATGAAAATTTATTCTTCATCTCCCCACTGACCATTTACCACATCATTGATCACAACAGCCCCTTCTTCGACATGGCGGCAGAGACGCTTCTCCAGCAGGACTTCGAGTTAGTGGTGTTTTTAGATGGCACCGTGGAGTCGACCAGCGCGACCTGCCAAGTGAGGACATCCTATGTCCCAGAAGAGGTGCTCTGGGGCTACCGTTTTGCTCCCATCGTGTCCAAGACCAAGGAAGGGAAATACCGCGTGGATTTCCACAACTTTAGCAAGACGGTGGAAGTGGATACCCCTCACTGTGCCATGTGCCTTTATAATGAGAGAGATGCGAGAGCCAAGATGAAGAGAGGCTATGACAACCCCAACTTCACTTTGTCAGAAGTCAACGAGACAGATGACACTAAAATGTAGCAGTGGCTTTTCGACACAAGTAAAGCCAAGTTTCGAACACACATAGTGGACTAGCGGCATGATGAAGCAATCAACCATTTGGGAGTATGAAACAGACAAAAGCCTTCCAAGTCCACCAGCACAATGCCCCTGAACTCTAAAACCATGATTCTACAAGACTCTACAAGGCTAGTGCAGTAGAACATGCATTGTATTTGTAGGAAGCTGGAATATAGAAATCATGGGAGCTCACTTGAATATGATTATTTAAAATCATGCAATGTTAATAGAAACAGACAAAAGTCATCAAAAGTCTCATGAGATCAAATGTGGTCTTTTTAAAAGTTTCCTTGAAGAAGTTATGAGCTTTATATAGGATCAGGGGAAAAACATATTCTTGTCTTCATTCTACTGATAAGCAATAAGTCACTTTATTTATTTTTTAAAAAATTTTATTGAATTTTGGGGGTAACATTAGTTCATAAAATTATATAGGTTTCAGGTGTACAATTCTATAATAAATCATCTGTATATTGTATTGTGTGTTCACCACCCCCAAGTCAAGTCTCCTTCCATCACCATTTTTCTCCCCTTTACCCTCTTCTACCTCCCTCTATACCCATTTCCCTCTGGTAATCATCATACTGTTGTTATCTGTGTCTATGAGTTTTTTGTGTTTTTGTGTGTGTGTGTGTGTGTGCTTAATTCCTTCATTTTTTTCACCATTCTACCTCCCTCTATACCCATTTCCCTCTGGTTATCATCATACTGTTATCTGTGTCTACGTGTTTTTTGTGTTTTTGTTTTTTTGTGTGTGTGTGTGCTTAATTCCTTCATTTTTTTCACCCCAACACCCCTCCTCTCTGATAGCTGTCTTCTATTTTGTTTGTGTTAGTTTATTTTTTCCATTAAATTCCACATATAAGTGAAATCCTATGGTACTTGTCTTTCTCTGACTGGCTAGTTTCTTGGTGGTCTCTTTAGGGTTCTCTCTCTACAGTATAATGTCATCTGCAAGTCACTTTTATTTTAACAATGACTTTTATCAAAGAAAAGATTGCCTCCTGAGTTGGGGGAACTGAATCAAAGACAATAAGAAAAGACTGTTCCACAAAGAACAGCTGTGGGGCTCTGACCCTCTCAGCCCTGGTCATTGGAGCTCCCATCTCAGCCTAGGCCACACTGTGTCTGGAGGAATAAGGGACGGCTCAGTCCATGGACTCTGTGTCTCTCCGTCCCCAACGTGGAGAGGAGCACCGAGCCAAACCTGCTTTACGGTGTATCCATGCGCTGCTGCCCAAGCTGGGTTTTGGCCCAAATGACCTTATGTGGTATATTTAGATGGAAGCTAGATCGTCGCTCCAGAATCTCCATGAACACTTTTCTGCAAGAAAGAATGCTTGGTTTGAAAATAGTGGCGATATTTCTTTCCATTTGTATTTGTAAAATAAAGGGCTATGAATGTGTTAAAAGAATATCTCCTGATCTCCCAAGAAGGCAATGAGGAGTTTAAAGGGGAAAAGTCAGTTTAGAAGGGAAGGTACCGCTAATGCTTCTGAGAAAAACTGTATTTGTGTTTTTCTGCCTGGGGCTGGTATTGACATGCTGCTTCTAAAGGAGAAAAAGTGTGAAAGGGAATGAGGTGTGGCTCCTCAGTGAGGACAGAGCCAGGTCTTCCTTTCTCTAAGGGCCAATAGCACATCTTCCTGAAAGGGACCAACTTAATGTAAGGATTAATCTTTAAAAATTTTTTAAGTAAATTTTTATTGATTTCAGAGAGGAAAAGAGAGAGAGAGAGATAGATAGATAGAAGCATCAATGATGAGAGAGAATCATTGATCGGCTGCCTCCTGCATGTCCCCTACTGGGGTCAAGCCCACAAGCCAGGCATAGGCTCTGGCCAGGAATTGAACCATGACCTTCTGGTTCATAGGTCAACGCTCAACCACTGAGCCATGCCAGCTGGGCAGGATTGATCGTTAGGGGAAGGTTTTACTGTGAATGTCTTAGTTCCCCACCTATGTGATTTTGAATGTATTCTTGAAAGGATGGTACTCAAAGCTGCTTAGGAATCAACTGTTTGGAGTGTGATGATTAATATATTAAATCTCTGGTACTGCACGTTCTTTCTAAAAGTGTCAGTCATTCTGCATCAATGTGACGGACCAGCTGATGGAAACCCTCTTGCTGAGAGTGGACTTTCTTCGGGGAGCAGTGGGAGGGCTGGGGGGCTGGCAAGCAGGAGGAAATGAGGTCGGCTGCCCGCATGTGCTCCCTGTGCCACTCAGCATACCCTTCCAGTGCGTCTTGGCACATAGAGTGGCAGCTGCCAGCACTTGTCAGTAGAGACGGCTTTGTCTGCCCGGGCCTGGGGTTGCATTTGTACAGATCCAGCCACCCAACCTGATCCTTCTGACCAAGACCAGTGGGCAGTCTGCTGCGTTCACGGTTGCACAGTTAGTTGGTGGCCATAACAGTGACGCAGCTGGCCCACACGGGAGATTGCTCTGTGCCTGTGTGTTGGCATAGCGGTTTAATCTACTGATAAAACGAAAGGAGATCAGGAATGTCGAGCTTGAGGGAGCTGGAGTTCTCTGCTGGCCCCTTGTATGAGGCTTTAGGGTGCTAGTCCCTTTGTAAACTGGAGAGAAATGTATGGACTGGGTCCTTCACACCAGAACACATTCCTTCTGGTCTGTGCTTCTCACCAGCAGCGCCTGGGGACTGCTGGGAGTAAGATGACCCAAACAATCCGTTTCTTTTGATGGCTAGGGATGCTGCTTGACAGCTGGAAGCTCTGTGATTGGCATTTATTTCTGGGCTAGCTGATGGAAGCTCATCTGCTTCCGTATACTCCTTTATCAGAATGAAGGCATTTCTGCCAGGTGGGGTCTCCTTTTTAATGTAAATTCCCATTGACCCTCTAGTAACCATTAACAGACATCGAAGAAACCCCTTGGGAAGTGCCCCCTTTCCACCCTGGTACTGCTGGAACCCCAACGCAGCATAAAAACCCTGGACATTCAGAGGGAGAGGGTTACGCAGGAGCTCAGTGAGTCAAGAAAATACATGGGGAACAGAAGGTTCCAGAAGGCCAACTTGGTGCTGCTAACGGTAGGCTTTTTATTCCAATGTGGTGCCATTGTTCCCAGCAGGGCCTGACTACATGAGTTTCACTAGCTACAGGTGAGCCAATGACCACATGCACTGATCTATCCATTTCACAAGGAATTCAGCATTTCTTATCCCATAAAACAATAAAATTGCATCCCATGATGCATTGCCTTATTTAAAGTTTTCCTTGGTACTGATTCCGCTGAACTTGCCTGATTTATCTCTGTTGCTATGGGGATTTAGATTTGGGGAGTGGGATCCTGGTTTATCTTCCTGGACTTAGGCTGGCTAAAGCTCCAATATTCAGAGTTAAGATTTGGGAGATGGTCTAACCATTGATTTCTCCAGAGAGAAAGGGCGAGGAAAAGATCCTCTCTCAGTTGCCAACTCTAAGAAGTGAGATGATCCCTGGCTGTTTCCATGGGTGGTGGGTGTGTAACAGGCCCAGGAAGATGGTGTGGGCAGGTGAGGGTTGCCCTCCTCCCTTAGAGGTTTTTCATGACACAGGAGCTGGGTTCCAAACAAGAAGATTCAGTGGCCAGCGTGAGGAAGCTTCCCCCATTTGGAATAAATGTTCTGAAAACCTCTGAAGCAAAGCATGCAAATGAAGCCCTGGCCCCGCCCCTGGGCCGTTGCTGTCTGCCATTCCAGGAAGTATGTGTCAATCAAAGCTTGACAGGGGAGATAGAGCATTTTATTTTGGAAGCCAGAAGTTTGAGAACAATGACTGGAATTTCCTCTTTCTGTCCGGCAAGGGCTGTTTGTCGCTGGGGAGATAAAAGTCCAGGGGTAGGGAATAAAGGTTATCGGAAACTGGGCCACACAGGGCCTTGGGGAGGGGGGCGCCCGGAGGAGGGGTTAGGGAGGAAATCTATTTCAATGCCTGTCATTAAGTTTCCATTAAAAGAACATTCAGTTAGGAATTCAAAAATAATTTAATCTCCCCAGCCAGATGCACCCAGCTGGACTCCTTGGAGCTGAGCCCTGCGGAGGGAGATTTGCACTGGGGCTCAGGGTAGGAACCAGGGTGGGCCCCTTCTGCTTCTCCACCCAAGACAGCCTTGACCGCTCTGGATGTTCTAGAAGACATGTGTGTCTTTCAGGCAGGGAGACACCCAAGACGTGTGACAGTAGAAGCAACTGGCTGTAGGGGCTACTTAGAGTTCCTACTAGGGACTAGGCTCTGTTTTAAGGAGTTTGAGTACATGATTTCAGTTGATTTCCCCAGAAGTCCTATGAGGTACTAGCATTACACCTATAGGGTGTCCCAAAATTCATGCAAGAAGTAATTTTGATAAAAAACACAGGTTTATAATTAAAAATTGTAAATTTTTTATTGATTCATAAAGTATACAGTATAGGGTTATGTATGGAATAGAATATTGGGTAAATGGCCTCCACGGCTTTGCTGGCACATACGCACTCTTTTGTTGAAATTTTCCATGACCAATTTGCATAAATGTGCCTGAATTTCGTTGATACAGCGCTCAATTTCCTCCTTCGAGGCTTGGGTGGTCGTGGGCTTGTTGGCATGAACCTTAGACTTCAAAAAACCCCAAAGAAAAAAGTCCAATGGCGTTAAATCTCATGATCTGGGCGGCCAATTCTGATCACCAAAACGGGAAATTACAGGACCAGGAAATGACTCATGCAGTAATTAATAAACCAAGTAAAATTAGGCTTTTGTTGTTATTGTTAATGCTCATGCAAAATTCAAATCTTGCGTGAATTTTGGGACACCCTACATTTTGGACTTGAAGCAGCTCAGGTAAGGAACTTGTCCAGAGTCACTAGCTAGCAAGTGACAGGGTGGGACTCGAACCCAGATCTATCTGTCTTGAAAGCCCATGAGTTTAAAATCACTCAAATTTACATCCTAACATGGATCACCCGTGAGAGAACTCTCGGAGCGTCAGACATGTACCTGGAAGCCACGGTTAGTTGGTACATGTTCCCGGTTCTGTCTCTCACTGTGGGAGAACCCCTTCATTGCTCAGCTCAGGGAAGGCCCTGGCCAGTGCTCAGCAAACACCTCTGGACTTCCATGTTCTAGAAAGAGGCAGGGCTGTGCCAGGGCCCCCAGATAATCTCCCCTTTTGGCATCTGGAAGTAAACGGGTGTCTCAAAGCTTTGCCTAGCTTGTTGGTGTAAACTATGCTCCTACATCTACATATATGCTAATATATTCTAATTATATAGGTGTTATTTTATAACTAGAGACATATGATTCCCATTTGACAGATGGGGAAATGGAGCCTTGCGTCTCCCTGGAGAACAGTGTCTATATTCTCTAGTCACCTCTGTGTTCTTAGCACCACACAGGCCTCACACAGTCAGTAAGTGGTTTTTGAGTCAGCAAATGAGAGAATTAATAACT